ATCATAAATCATCAGCTTTTTATGTCTATAATAAGTGGTATATATCAACTGTTATTATTTATTTCATATAATACAAAATTTTTCTTTCACCTTATCATATAGTAATTCTTAATGTGATATCATGAAAGCGATTTAGATTTTTTTTTGTTTGTTAGCTCTGAAAAAAAGAAAGATGTTATTTATGTCTTCTCATCATTTTTATTCTACTGATCAACAATATTTATCGATCAATAATGAAATTAAGGAATTTCAAGCGAAAAATAATATTCAGCTGATATCAACAGGAACCATTCAAACTACAGCTGTTTGTTCTACAGAATGTAATCAACTATCGTCTTATCCTAACATTCGATTATGATTTAATATTAAAACAATGTTGTCTATTCGAAGATAATTCTACAACAGAATCAATTATTTCATCATCTTCTGTTGTTTTGGACTGTCTACATTTCATCAAGTCTTTATTCGTCAGTTGTGTCAAACTCGGGTACAGACATACTAAATCTTACCTGTATAAATTCAGATTGTTATGCTAAGTTCCCAAAATATTCATCATTAGTTTATTCTTTCTTGTAGTACAAAAACCGTATTAAAATTCCAAAGTCTGATATACCATTTTAGTGTCTAGTAGAACAGTAATTCTTTGATCTTCATATTTACCTTGTGTAAACCAGAAAGTATATTAAACAATTCTATCTTATTCCTATGTTCTTTTTGTTTCTAACATTATCTACTGTAGTAGTTTTAATTTATAATGAATGCTATAGAAATTGAATTAGTTATTATTGAAACGAACAATCTGTTATATAATGCAAAAATGGCAACAGAATCAAGTCAGTGGAAAGAAAATGAAACATCAATATCGTGCTATTGAATGATTCTGTGTATCAAGAACAAAATGAATAGTAGTGATAATGTCGATCGTTTTTTCGTTCTCTTTACTCTGAATAATATTCGCGTACACATTCAAAATTTCACATGATCACTAACTTCAAAAATCAAAATTCTCAAAATGTTGAATATAAAATACTACGTTGTGTATGGATAAAACTTGATATAATAATTGCTTTTGTCTGTGAATTGTAGAACCTTATTGTGTACACAACTATGGTAGTTTTATGATGATCTGGAGTGTTGAAAGAACTCCATCCTTGATAGAGAAAAAAACGACGGTAGAATGCACAGACCAAAATATGCTTTGTTACAAGACGAACTTTCATTAAACCATTAACTACTTTCACTGGATTCTTTTCCCAATTATATTTGAATCCATTAAGCACATGTGACTTTTTTTGAAACTTTTTCTGAATAAATAGACTAAAAAGTATCACTGAAAAGATCGACAATGTTTTAAATAATGATTTACTCACATATATACAAGCTAATTTCTCATAGATTGTATAAGAAAAATCAAGGATTGTACATTCATTATTATTTATTAGAAATGGAAACTACTATTAATTTGCATTCAGAAAAGAACGTGCAACCCGAATGGGATCTACATTCCTAACTAATACATTTTTTTGTCTAAAATTTAAAAATCATATCGATAAAAATTTTTAAATGTTTATCATTTTCAAATTTTTGTTCATAAATACAACCAATTCATCTGCATTACTCTTCGATGCAACAGTAGTTAATTATATGTCGGAGACAATAGTAATCAACTTTTTGTCATCGAACAGGCCGTGCACTTAGAAGTTTTGGTAGCTGACCTACATTTCTGTTCGGTAATAACAGAACGTCATACATTTATGCGACTGTTATGCTGTTTCATCTAGCATACAGATGGCCAACAAAAAAGACTATTTCATCTAGTCAAATAGTATATTCATACTGTTTAATGTATTCATTATACTATTCAATTGGGATTGTTGTTGATAGAGTAGGAAATGTTCATATTTCCAATTATTATTGTCATTGAATAATGAAATGGATACGAAATGCTACCTGCCATTTGCGAAAATAGTCCAGGTTGTGCTGTTAATCAACTTTATCATCCAACTGATATATTTCTTTCAAAATTAGATGGCTCAATTCAAGTTGCTGATTGTTTCAATAACAGAATTCAAAAATGGCAAATAAATGCAATAACTGGTATCACTGTTGCAAGAAGCTCAAATGGAACAACAGGTAGTACACCATATCGTATGCATGAGACCTTTATTTTAGTAATCAATGATGAAGAAAAGTACTTGCATGTATCAGACACTTAGTTTTCTTTTCCATTAAAATATTTGATTTGTCTGCTTGTATCAATGTTTTGTGACTTACTGTTTTTGAATTGAGCAAATTACTTCAAAAATGAAGTAAGTAATGCTAATAATTTAACTTTTAAAATATGTTGTACAAACGATGATAAACTGAATATATTTTTTAAGAAAAAGAAACAACTATCTAAATAAAAAAAAATCAGAAGAGTGTTTGGTGTTGAAGGATTAGTGAAAAAGAGTATATAATGAGTATGAAATTGAACTTTACTAAACAACTACAAAATTAATTTTTTTTGGCAAAAAAAATGAAATTAGCGAATACTGATACCCACACTTTCAATGAGGACGTTATTTTTATTTTTGATTGTTACTCTATATGAGAAATTCATGAAGAGTTAATAGAAAAAATACATAATTTATTTTTTTCAAAAGATCTATAAGACAAAAAATTGAGTTTCATATAAAGACTTGACAAGATATTTATTAAGCATAAATAAATAATATAGATCTATCTACTTCAATTTACAATAATACAGTTTTATTATTATACTCTATAATAATTGAGACAATTTGCAGTTCTGATAGCCAATATGTTTGAACCAAATAAAACAGCATTATGAGCTGTTGGTTCGTATGAGCGCTGTGCCTTTACTTTTCCATCTTTACTAACATGTAAAAGACGTGAATTATTATGGTCGATTACAAGCCATTCGTCATATTTGAGTAAACAAACACGATATACTTTTCGCCCAATACTATGCATTGTATCAAATGTGAGTGACCAGAGTTTTTCAAGTGTTGATGAAGATCGAAGTTCTATGAGCTTTGATGTATCGTATTTCTCTAATATGATTAAAGCAAGCGTTCCATTGTTATAAACAATACTATGGATAAGTTCGTCGTAGTTACAAGTTTGAGGAGATTCCCATTGTTTGATAAAATGAAACGACGATAAAAGATTGAATTGAAAAATATTAGAACCGTAATCATTCATAGCTAGAAATAGAGATTCATCTGAGCATGTACAAGACTGCCATTGTTTCTTCTTGATTGTTTGAATGCATTCAATTGATGCTAGATTTTCGTCAATTAGGAAAACTCCTTTTTTTTTTGTTATGATAATAAAACTATTTATAGTCGATGACCAACACATATCAAGAATGCGATCATATTCCCATGGAGTTTGTTTTAAAAGAGTCAATTCTTTATTAAATAAACATAAATTTGGATATTGATCTAATAGTAAAAATTGATTGTTGTTAGCCAATACAGTCCATTTATTATTGGAACAATCGATTGATCGATAAGGAGATGAAAGAGTTGATATATCAAGTTTATTCGATGTGAATTCTTCAATATAAACTAAATTTTGATTAATAATTAAAGGATGAACATCAACTATAATGCCATTCTCTTCAAATTGGTTAACATCACGTTTCATATCATTAATAGTTGCTTTTAGTGAAAAAAAATCGTCATGCGTAGCTTCTTGTTCTTGAATAAGTTCGTTTGTTTTTAATTTCAATTGACGAATTTTTTTTCGTTTTTGACCAGCTTGTTGAACACAACGTTGTTGAAGTTCTTGATATTTTTCTTCATAAAAACGATCGATTATAGTATGACAATCATGACGCCATTTATCCAATTTTTGACGGCATTTATCAATAACTTCATCAACATTTAATGCCGACATCTGATTGTGCAGAGTATTAATTTCGTCAACAAGAGGATTTAGTTGAGAATGGATTAAATCATTATGTTCTTTCAAATGATCAAGACAAAATTTCTTGCTGCAACAATCACATAATGCTCGTGATTTACGTTTGCATGTGTCGCTAGTACACAGTGAAGACATTATTTTATCGAAATAGTGATTTCGTTTTGCTAGCAGTTATGAATATATATAATGTCCCAAGTAAACGAAAAATAAGTGAAGACGTCCGACATGACTAGTCGGATGTGCACATTATTTGTCATGCCAAGTGTGAATTGTCAAGCCTATTCGTTATGATTGATTGTCTTTATGAGAAATCTCCTTCAATTATGTTTGGACTAGTCCAGAATATGCTGACATTCATTATATATGATCCTACAATATTCGACATTGGGTCTTAGATTACGATCTAATCATCGATTGAGATAAGTTTAGACAGTCCTAATAGCAGAGTGACGTTTGGTTATTCTATATGTAATCAAAAGTGATCGAAAAAAAGGCAAGTTGATTAGTCTAAAATCATAAATGGGACAAACCATTTTCTCAATTCATTGAAAAATCTGCTCTAACTTTGTTCACATAAAGAGAAGTATGATTACAAAATTACATAATTGATTAAAGTTTTTCTGCGTTATATAAACTTCATTACTTTTCTAAAACCAATTACTTGATTTCTTATCCAAGTCATATTGCTTTTATACAATCTATATCCTGTCTCGAAAAACAAAAAATTCAAATTAAATACATTTGAATGAAAATGATACTATTTATGAGCAAAAAGATACCAAAGATTTTTTTAATTACTTGAGAAAATGTCAATTCTAGTCTGGGCTGGTCCGTATTCGAAGCAAACAGAAGCAGAGAGTGATATAAAGAATTGTTGAGTACCTCTATTATCTTTTAAAAAAACTATACGATAATCAGATACTTTAAGAATATCGATTGGATAGTAGAATAACAATCATTTCGCTATTGTTTTCACTAAAAATGAACTGATATTAGGGACAGAAATTAGAAAAGACACTTTAAAATTGTGCGTATTCTTGAAACTCACCTTTGTTGAAGATCAATATTCAAAAGCATGCAGTATCATGAGAAAATATGCTTTTCTCTTCATAATTAACAGTTAAATGTGGTGTCTATTATATCACAATTATGGAAATAGTACCAACTAATAAATTTATATTAATTTACCTGTAATTTGTTATTACTCTTATTGTTATTCCCCGATTAAAATGATAATACGAAGTGTTCATGAAAATGAAGGATAAATGTCAGGAGTTGATACCATATTTTAAAAATTCATGTTTTTATTTATTTGCACGTATTCTCTTCACATTCTTGTAATTTTTTCTATCTCATATCACAAGATACATTGAGCGTCTCTTCAACGAGTAAAGAATTATATTGAACCACAAAGAAATACATGAAAATACAAAGTCACTAGAGTTATCTATCTATATCCTTTAAAAATGATTAGATTGCAAAGTATTCGAAATAATTTGAATATGTTTACATGATCATTTTATTTTTTTACAAGTATGAATTCTTTTAATTGAAAATGTGTTCAAAGTACATAATACTCGTGTATTTTCAAGCTTAAATTACAATAAAATAGTTTTTTTTTTCTAAGAATGATGACTATAGTTCGATCAATTAAAAGTGAAAGGAACACG